ATATCTCTTATTGAATAACTTTTTATTTATTTATTTCAATCAACAATATAGGGTAAAATTACGTTCGTTCAATTCAATTCTAATACTAAAATTATAAATCATTACTAATATTAGTTATATCAAATGCGTAAGTATTTATAATTATGTTGAAATTTTTTTAATGTTAATAAAATAACATGAACATGTCACCGTTATATACACCATATCCGACTTAATTATATATTAACAAAAGCTTTGTTGATAGCTTACCATAATGATATAATAATAAAAATTAATTTGTTAAAAATACAAATAAAAAGTCTTGAATATATGTAAGTAAAATTAGATAATAAATTAAATAACATTAGTTCATATACCTGGGGTGCCTGTTCGAGGCAGTGGATACATGGACATGAACCCAGTGCCTCAAAAAAGCACACTCGGGTTTCTCACTAATTACGTTAAGAATGAAATATAGGCATACAATATAAATATAATATATATAAAGGAGTGTCTAAATCTTTAAGTGTGACACCCAGTTCTGTATACTTGTATCTCATAGATATGTATCATATCATGTATGCAATATGCAATATTCAATATCAACGAAAACTAGCCATCTGTGCAGGACATGAATATAGGGACCTAGTGTATGCACAAGTACAATTGCACTCTCTAATCCTTCGGTCTCATAGTCTGTTGGGACGGTTATCGACAACACTTCTGGCGATTTTTCCGGATACGACTGATACGTCTTAGGGACCTTCAAGAAAAGAGCTTAGGGGAGACCGGGGATGTTTGATCAAATTTCAGTGAAGACGCGTATATTTTCTTTATTTTAGTGTATATTATCGTAAAAGCTATTATATACGATAGGTTAACTATTAAGCTTCTGCAAAACATAACAAAAAGCTTACCATCAATTATGATGTAGTGCACAAGCTTACCTTCAACCTACCCAATGCCCGGGGTTGGTTGACTTTTCACCAGGGGTAAACTACGAGAAAATTAGTAGATTAATTAGAAAGTATTTGTAAATATTTTTAATCATGACAACGTAAATAAACATAACAATACTGTTATGTTTATTTAAATACATAATAAACTTTAAATTAGAATAAACAATCATACATTTTAACATATGTCAACTAAAACTAAATAATTAAAACTTAACTTGCACGTAGTGCACTGAACCCATTTCTCTTCACAATACTCAAACTATAAAATTTACTGCACTCAAAACAAAATGTATCATACTCATCACCTTTGTCTTCTTCGTCATTATTCCTATTATTTCTCTCATGGAAAACATTTTATACTTTACCTTTTCCCTTACCCTTGCCTTGGTTTCTTTGTTTTCTTATTTAGCGTTTTCTTTCTCAGGTTTATCTCTATAAATAGTACAAACTTTCGTGTTTCATAAGGAGTGTAAATCCGTAATAAATATCAGCTACCTTCTTATGGTAATTTTCAGATGCAAGTTCTTTCTCTTCAATAAATATTTGTCTGTTTTTACTGTAGCCAGCGCTCCCTAAAGTCAAATTCAAATTTAAAGTAAAATTTAGATCCCGAAAGTTCCGGATTACTTTCTAACATTTTCTCATTTAAACGAGTTTATCTATTAATTATTTTGCTGTATAATTATTCCACGAGGCATCTTGCCCTCCGAACTTCTACCAACCCCGCATGGTTCTGTAATAACAAACATTTAATAAACTAAAAAAGACTGGCTTTATTCCATGTTAAGTATCTCGAGACTACTATGGGGTAGATTGACTAGGTGGTCAATCAGCCCCAAAATAAGTTGGTCTACCAGCCCCAGGTCGCTTTTTAATTTATAACCACATGGTATAATAGCCTCAACACTGGAGCGAAAGAAAAATAATCAAACTTCTATTTTAAATTACTAGAAAGTAAATATCAACGAGTATTGAGGCGTTAGTAAAAAAATAATATGTGGAAAATAATTACTTACATGGTTTGTTTTTCGTTAATATGCTCTTTCTTCCGAACGACGTGCGTTTGCGATGCCACGCTCCCGGGACATGAGCAGGGTAAGAAAACGGTCTCTCGCGTCTGGTTGGATGAGGCAACACTTTCAAGTAGATCGAGTTATTGACAGTAAGTCAACCTGCCCCAATAGTCAACCGTCCCCGGTCTCCCCTACTCCTTTATAAAAGGCTGGCAAAACATTTACAATACTCCTGGTGTTGTAGTTGTTCATGGTCGGTGGTAGTCGCTTACCATCAAGTGAGCCGCATGCTCGTTTGCCCCCTCTTCTACAAAAAAAAAAACGAGTTTACGTGCTTTCCGAGGCACGGGGTAAACACCGACAATTTCCTGACTCCGGGCGGCTACTGAGAATTTCTTGACGGCAAAACCCAATAACTTATTATGGCTCGACCCGGGATTCGAACCTAAGACCTCAGGATCAGCAACCACATTTACGATCACCAGACCAACAATGCAGTCAATGTGTTTACTAATACCTGTACTTGTGTATACACTATAGGTGGTAGAGCCAGGCTGCATAGTATTATTGCTGTAGTAACGCTTGGGTCGGCTCTAATCTTCCTAGTTCTCAGTTGGTGACAACGCATCTGCATTTTAATATTTAAACAATTATAGATGTTTAGGTATTTATTCGTCACAGCATCCGCTAACCGTCAAGTGGACTGAGTATTAATTTATTGACTTGATTTTCAAAGGAAGAGAAAATTAAAAAAAATATTACATACAGGGTTATTTTGAAACGAGTAGCCAAGTTTTAAACTTAAGTTCAAATATATAAATAATGATATATCGTTACCGCAGTTTTATAGCAGTAAATAAGGCTTCTACTTTTATTTGAAATTTCCCAAATTGAATATTATTTATAGGTAACAACGTTTTTTAACGCCTACCGATCGAGAATGCCCTTACGAATGTGTGCATGCGCAGTAAAATCAGTTAAAATAATGCATTACTACGCACTTTGATTTTTGAATTTAAAAGATAAAAAGAACAGAATGTTTCACTTTCAACTTCTCTGCAAATATGGCCGGTTATTGCAAAATAAACATGTATTATAAAATTCTTACAATATTTTAAAACGTTACGATGATTGATCTGTGGTTAAATAGTTTCAATTTAGCCCAAAGTTGGAAGAAGGTAAAAATTGGCGTTGTCTTTGGCCTGCACGTCCACGGGAAATAATTGGCGTAGAAAAACACAGGAAGTCATTAGTGGCAAAGCGAGCGGCGTCTACTCTACGGCAACAGTGAAATGTTTCCCTCGTTGACTACCTCTTATAACGTTACATATCATATGTACGATATTTATCTCTATATATAAAAATCTATTGTTGTTCATTTGTCTCGCTAATACTCAAATACGGCTCTACCGATTTTGATGAAATATACTGTGTGTGTTTGAATAGGTTACCCTACATGGTTTAAATTCGTGTTTGGACCCGGTAGGTGGCGCTGCTGTTAAGATCCAGATATCACCCGAGTAAAGCCGAGGCGGATCGCTAGTTTTAAAATATATTATATTTTACACGTGGTAGAGCCATACTGCAGTTATATTAGTAGTATAGTTGTAGCACGAATGGGTCGACTCGACCGGGGAAGGACCACGCTCTCACAGAATACCAGCGTCAAATAGTAGCTTAATGCTGCTGTGTTTCGTATGGTGAGTATATAGAACCGAAGACCCTTTTTTACTGGAAACGAGGCATTCCATCTTAGTCCTCACGGGTGACAGCGCATCTGCATTTTGATTCGTAATCGAGGATAGATGTAGATGTCTATTGGACACAGCAAGCACTTACCATCAGGTGGACTGTGTGCTCGTTTGTCACCCTATCCAATAAAAATAAATGTTGTTTCCGTTTGGTGACGGCACAAAAGAGTCCATCAACCCACTTTTATTCAGTGAGTGTTGTAACCAACTGCGGGAAATGAATGAATTTTGATGAAACACCTGCACAGGTTACAGGGAGCAGCTTTAATGGTGTGAAGTGAGAAGTACTGCAATCCTCAAGTAGCCTATTAAGCGTGATTAAAGCAATTTCTTCGTACAACCGAAGAGGTTCATGTCTAGCAGTTGATTGAGGGCCGATGATACACCATATAGGAGAAGAAGAACATGTGAATGCCGTCAATATTGCACTCCATTGTCAAAAATATAGATTAAATTACTACGTAGTGTGTTTTCTATTCTATGTATTTTATACCGAGAATTTTAGTACATTCTCAATTATTTTAGTAGCGTCCTATGTGGTTTTTTTTATCCGCTCTGTATAGGGTTTCATAAAAAAAATCTTTGTCGTTGCTCATCAAAAATGTGTCTGCCATTATAACCAGACGAGCCAGCACGCATAGCAGGCAGCAGACCGTACAAGATGTCTCTTAATCTCTATCATATACGAGATCGTTTACTAATTTTTATTGGAGGCTGTGAGGTTTTCGGTCCTTTCACTACTAGTTTCTTAGGACAACCATCTATTACACAGCCAACTCACGTATCTTTCATAATAATTATTGTAACTTAGACAGAGAAGAGGCGTACAAAATGACATACTAGTTATAAAATCAGTCATCAAATCTATATTTATTAATAATAGTGAACACTTTAAGTAACTATGTATTCTTTGGTTCATTACCTATTAAAATTATAGAGATCAATCAACTTAGTGCATAAACAATAGAGTTATTAATATTTTTTTCAAACGAACAAAAACCGTTATGTGTCCGGGGCGGGTAAAATGACACACGTGGTGTGGACAAAATGGCATACCAAATTTTTTATGAAAATCAGTCGATTACATGCAGAGTTCACACGTAAAACGTTTTGTATTTTTCGGAACATCTGCACATGATGCATGAGCCCATCTTTTACAGCTCAAGCACTTTAGCCAGACCTCTTTTGGCTTGGACCTGGAGTAGAGGTCATTGCAATAAATGTAAGGACAATCTGCATCATCATCTCCGGCTTCAGTGTGAGCTTGTAAGGAAGAGAAATCATTTTCACTGTCGGAACTAAAATCCAGAGCTTTTGTAACCTTTCTCGTGTTTTTCTTTGGAACAGGTGGAGGAGCTGATTTTGCTTTTGCCTCTTCTATATTTGGCGTTGAAGTTAACACCAATAAATAAAAAAATTAACATAAATACTGTTGGTTTCTTGCGTGGTTTTCTTTTACCTTGTCCAGCCACATAAATTCCTTTTGGCACTGAAGATATTTCTTGGAGTATCAATTTAGATGATGTGGGTGTCGTAGGTATTGCAGTAGCTGTGTCTCTAGATTGGACTACTGAGATTGGACGTGGGTTGTCTGCGGCTGATGTGCTTGCAATTATTAGTGATGTCGAACTCCCTGCTTCTACCTGAGATGGACTCGCTGAGGGTATACATAGGTTTTCTGCTGCCGTTGAATCTTCTTCGGGCTCTACCCGATCTTGTTGCATGGGAATGTTTGTCGTCTCAGCAGGCTCAAACAAATAATCTGGAAATATGTATGGATCAACAGGCCAGAGACCAGTTTTTTGAAATCCATTGACGGCAGTTTGAACCGTTGCTGCTTTGCCATAAGCTTTGTTGAGTATGGCGCCTATTTGAAAGTGAGTAACAACTCTACCTGGATGGCTCTTTAACCAAGTGCTCACTTCTTGATTAAAATAAGTCTTCAATGGACCATAAAAAGATACGTCTAATGGTTGCATGCGGTGCGTGCAGTGAGGTGGCAAGCACACCATAATGATTCCATGCTCTTTTGCGAATGTTAAGCTTTCAATACCTTTATGACTGATATGTCCATCAACTATTAAAAGCACTTTGTCATCAAGACTCGCTTTTACATGCAACTGAAAGTGCACCAACCATTTATAAAATACAGCTGTTGTCATCCAACCTGATTCCTGCGCAATACCCATAGTACCGGTAGGAGCTTCGTCTATCAACTCCTGTTTCATATTTTTTTTAGGATAAATTAAACACGGCGGGATAAAATGGCCATTTGCACTCACGCAACAAACAATTGTCACATGAGACCCCTTTTCAGCACTAGTCAAAGCCCCAACCTGCTTACGCCCAGTAGTAGCAAAGACGTTTTGGGGTCTCTGGACTGTTGATAATGCTGACTCATCGACGTTGTAGAGCCTATGAGGAGAAATGTTGTTGCTCTGAATAATGTCTTTGTAAGTGTTGAAAAACAGTGCTACTTGGGGCTTGTTGAAGGCTTGGGCTCTTGCAGCTGAAGTCGCTTCAGGTTTCCTCAAGGATATGTCCGGGTGTCTGCGTCAAAATCCAGCCAACCATTCTTTGCCTTCCATCTTTTTTTCATTGTTGAAGTTATGAGGAATATTATTAACGTCCGCAAACTGGTACGCCAATTCCAAAACTTCCTTTCTTGTGAATCCAAACAATCTCGTTTCTAGTAATTTAATATGTTCTACCAGTTCTCGTTCCATTTCATATGTGAAGACATTCCTGTACCTACCCATACCTAAAACAAAGGTACGTGTTTAAATCCGCTCTAATCATGCGAACAAAACGCGAAAATAAAAAAAATACTAAGTAGGTACCTTTTGTAGTTGGAGCTAAGACTTTATTTTGTTTCAGTGCATGTCTTCTAAGAGTCGATTGTGGGACGTTAAACACTTTAGAAGCCAATAGCCAGCCCATTTCATTATTCTTTACAGCTTCAATAGCCTTTTCCATGGAGGTTTTATACCAATCCTGTCGGTCTGTTTTTCTAGAATAGTTGCGTGGCATGATGTACATTTATCTGGAAAAAAGAAAAAAAGGTGGGTCATATGACATAGTATGCTATTTTACCCGAACAAGGTGTATGCCATTTTGTCCACTTCATAACCTTCAACATTAGAAAACGATAACTAAAAATTTAACTAGAATTTTGAGTTTCCAAAACATTCTCGAAGTTATTTAGTAAAATTACAATAAATAAATGCTAAATAAAAATAAATTAAAGTAAAAACTACTTACTTGTACGAGAAACAAAATCCACCTGCTTATAACTCGTGACTGCAAAAATTAAACAAACATGTGTCCGTACCACACGGCCCAACGAACGCGACTGGTGCTGCCACAGGTTGCGTTGCGACCTCTTAAGCTGAGAACAAATTATCGGACGCGGCTGACAGCCGCGGCTTATTGAAATCTAGCCAGTACATTTAATACTACACTGTGCAAACTATCGGCCGTAAGACGCGGACATGACCCCCACTTCGACGTCCGAACAGAATCTGGCCGGCTGGATGTTTGGTGCGTTCGCAAACAGTGTGAACGGGGCACGGGACGCGTCCGCGGACGTTTCGAATGTCACAAGCGAACCAACTGCTTTCGCGACATGATGTGTAATGAAAAAAAATTAATTGAATGTGTTCATGGCCACGAATGCATATATTTATAAGTACATATTATTAATACATTCATAAGTACATTTTTTAACATTTATCATCTTTTTGTAAGTCTGTAAGTACATTTTGTACAATGTATGAAATTCATCATACTCGAGTCGTTTTACATTAATATCATGGACCCAAGCACTCCTTTTCACTTTTTTTAGTAGGACAACATAAAACAGCTGCCGCTAACTTTATAGATTCATCCTCGCTGTCGCTGCTTGTCATATTTCTCGAATGACAAACCTTTATGGAATGACCGAAGCGAGGCGTCCGAAGACGCCGTCTCGACTACCGTGCACACCGCTAAGCCGCGTCTGTCAGCCGCGGCTGACGGACGCGTCCAATAATTTGTTCTCAGCTTTACTAAAGCTGAGAACAAATTATCGGACGCGGCTGACGGACGCGGCTGACAGCCGCGGCTTATTGAAATCTAGCCAGTACATTTAATACTACACTGTGCAAACTATCGGCCGTAAGACGCGGACATGACCTTGCGTCGCTCTTGAGCGTTCGGACGTCCGAAAAGAATCTGGCCGGCTGGATGTTTGGCGCGTCCGCGGACAGTGTGAACGGGGCACGGGACGCGTCCGCGGACGTTCCGAGTGCCACAAGCGAACCAACTGCTTTCGCGACATGATGTGTAATGAAAAAAAAATTAATTGAATGTGTTCATGGCCACGAATGCCTATATTTATAAGTACATATTATTAATACATTCATAAGTACATTTTTTAACGTTTATCGTCTTTTTGTAAGTCTGTAAGTACATTTTGTACAATGTATGAAATTCATCATACTCGAGTCGTTTTACATTAATATCATGGACCCAAGCACTCCTTTTCATTTTTTTTTAGTAGGACAACATAAAACAGCTGCAGCTAACTTTATAGATTCATCCTCGCTGTCGCTGCTTGTCATATTTCTCGAATGACAAACCTTTATGGAATGACCGAAGCGAGGCCTCCGAAGACGCCGTCTCGACTACCGTGCACACCGCTAAGCGGCTGACGGACGCGTCCAATAATTTGTTCTCAGCTTAAGCGATCCTTTACAAGCCATTGTGAGAACTAATAAGTCAGTGGTTTCGGAGAAAAGTAGGTATGTCATTTGACCCACCTATGTCATTTTGTACGCCTCTCCCCTACTTATACAAGAGAATAAATATAAAACATATACGATATGAATCAATCATTCAGGAATCTTAGAATTGTCTTTGTTTTACAAAAAAAAAAAAAAAAAGGAAAAAAAAATCAAAACGCTCAAAATATTTATTTTTAGTAACAACTAGTGATCCGCCCGGCTTTGCACGGGTGATTTCTGGATCTCGACAACAGCGCCACCACCACCAGATCTCGACAACAGTGTCCAAATGTGAATATAAACCATCTATGGATCCATTCAAACGGAAACGAGGCATTCCACCCTTCGATGAACAATTTGTTGATCGAAGATTCCACCTAAGTCCTTACGGATGACAACGCATCTGCATTTTGATTCGTAATCGAGGATAGAAGTCTATGCGCCACAGCAACCACTTACCATCGGGTGGACTGTGTGCTCGCCTCGTCGCTCGTGTGTCATCCTATCCTATAAAAAAAACATACACAAAATTTTCATCAAAATCGGTTGGATGGTTTCAAAATCTATAACGGACTTAAGTACAAAAAATTTTTGTGTTTTATATAGATAGATAAAAATATTGTAGAATTATAATGGTGTATGCAGCGGACAACAATACTTAGCGAACGCTAATAGTAGTCCGTATGTCCTCGCAATTTGACATTTTAGACATTTTAATTCGCTTTTAATTCGCCTTATGAATGGCGCTTTTACTCGGTTTGTATCATTTTGTTCATTTAATTTAATTTTAATGTAGCTCGTTATATACGATTACGAGCGGTGACGGGGAAGGCCGTTAGCGATCTGTGTCGCCCATTGTGTATGTATACTACATCAATTCGTTTGTGTTCCTTTATGAATCTGTTACTTTTGATCTCAACCGTTAACAGTTTGCACAAAGTATTCGTAAATTATAATCATAAGCGCTTTTCAGACCGTGTCTTGATTATTATTTGAGAAATTAGATTTTTATCGTTTATATAATAATTTGTATCTTTGTGATTACAATGTTCGTTTAATTATGTAAGCGTTAAATTGTTAACTATTATTATCTAAAATATGATACTTATCATATCATTGATAACATTGACACCTATGTATTTTATTATTTACAACGTTGGTTCTAAGATTGTTTATTATCCACTTGGTTTAGGGGTCTGCGTAACTGTAAAACGTAAAATTGCTTTTCATACTTTCACAAATACAAATGTGTATTTGTAAAAGTATGAAAAGAAATTATTATTTAAAATAAAGTTCACATTTACGTGCTATATCCAAATTAAAAAGTAAACTTTAGTGACACCATTAATATACAGTGTAATTCCGTGTCTAAAACCATTCCTGTAATTGCATGCATTACACTTACTGAATTCAAACAATAATAAAAGCATGAAATGTGTGGTTGTTCCAATATTGGCGTAAACCTATTATTATTGTAGATATTCGATCCGTCTGCTATCAGACATAAACGCTATCGTTCTAGTATAATTTAAAAATATTGTGACTAAAAACGATGAATATTAACACTGACGCATAGAATATCTACTGGATAAAATTTAAATGTAATTTGTGATTCATTTTGTGCCAAATTCGTGGCATAGAATAACAATTGATTACGCTTATAATAAACTGAGAAGAGACACACATAAAAGCTTTATGATTAGTTAAACCGCTAGCGAGGACGATTCATTATGGGCCATTATGCGTCGTGTTTATCGACTTACTCTCTACAAGCCAATAAAATAACGAACGACCGAGATAAGAGCCGGACAGTCCTGTAATCTCTGGAACAAGGGACACTAATTCGATTGTGGTTTCGGTCGAAATTTTTTTGGGGTTTACGGCACAAATTGAAGTGTTGAAAAAACGACAAATTGACTTTTTCGAGGCCCATTCATTAGTTCGACGCTGAATGGTGTTGTGTCGTTTTCGCTCAATTAGTTAAACGGAAATTCGAGCCTCGCTGCTCTCACACGGCGATTGTGACTGTGTGTGCGTGTGTGTGTGTGTTTTGAACACATATTCTTATTTGGTATCATTGTGATCCGATATAAACAAGAGCGTTGTAGTGGTTGGTAGTTCTCTTTGTGTATATAATATATTATATGTCTGGGAAAACTTTTATAATTATAAATTTTTATTTATAATTGACAAGTAATTTATCTATGTTGGTACTAAATAGGGGTTTTCTGCAATAAAGCAGCATAGCCTTTAAGCAAATAAGCTAAAGGGCCAATGTGCCGTCTTTATATAGATCATTTAACCAAAAAATAAGGATGGGCAGGATCTCTCTTTAGGGCCAGCTGAGCGTTTGGGGAACTAGATGGAGCGACCATTTGATAAGACATGCTGGAAATTAGGTATGAATGGCAGTCAGTCAGCCCTTTATTTTGACTTCTAACTTATGGCGATTACGCACTAATGCAACGCTTTCGCGCTCCTCAATGTATCAATCTTAATATATATATATATATATATATATATATATATATATATATATATATATATATATATAAAAATTACGTGTCACGTTGTTTATCCGCGATGACTTCTAAACTACTTAACCGATTTTAATCAAATTTGCACACCATGTGCAGTTTGGTCCAACTTGAGGCATAGGATAGTTCTTTTGCCCATGAGTGACCCACAATTATTATTTTTTGCGAATTTAAGCATTTTTAATAGAACGTGACAAAGAATTGCCGAAAAGGGCAGAACAACGTCTGCCTGGCAAGCTAGTATTCTAATAAAAATTGGAAATACATATGAGTGTCTTTTAAGTGTTACCACGGATGGAAGTATTAATAATTGATGGGTTTCCGCTGATCAAAATGCTTATTGTAAGAATAAATTACGAGAAAAAAACTTATGTGAATATATTCGACGTGCGTGACATTTACTCGGCTTTAATAAAGAAGATAAGGCGATATTAATGTGTAATAGGTTCGCGAGTAGGTAGGTAAGTCAATCGTATGAGGCTAGTCATTGCAGCTGGTGTGACGGTTATAAAGCTAGTTATTATTATTCGGATTTGCTTGCATTACTTTGGCGCTTCTGGAATGTAAAAAAAAATAATTTAAGTATCATCCCTGTAGGGACATAAATCTTCAACCTTGACAGAGTTAGAAGTTGCTTCCATCGTAACTAACAAAACGATTTATTTAATTGTATTAAATCGAGTAAATGTAGATGCTCGGAAAGGGACAAACCTGGATATCATCTTTACTG